TTGGTGTGTGTGGGAGGTCAACATTGGTGTTGATGTCATGTATATTGGTCTTCGAAGTCGGAGTGTGCCTTTTGCAAGAACCTCGATAGGATAGGTAGGACGAGTAGAGTAGAATGGGTGCTAGAAGCGACATTGAATATTGCGTTGGTGTGGCCTGAGGGCTTGAACATTGGCTCACAAGTTCACTGTTTCGCACTTATTTGGATGGAATCTTGGTGCATTTGAGCTCTCAGCTTGTGACATGACTATCTTGACTTCTGCGTGATTTTGCAACTTGGTTCTCTGTATATCGCTCTCGCTCATATTCCTTGCAGATTGATTGATGATTGACTGATTGATTGATGGGGGAGGGTCCCTGCCCCCAGCACACACACACACACTATGTTTTTGATTTTTTTTTATTATTATTATTATTTAAGTTTTTCCCTTTTTATCTTTGTATCTGTCCGTAAAAAACAAAAATAAAAGAAACATATGCACCATTGGATTGGAAAGCGAAAGTTGAAGATAACAAGGTGTTGAAATCATCGATGCAAATATAAAAGCACAGTGCGAGAAGGGCAATATGCTAAGTTGTGTAACTCGGAATTGAATTATTAACTCTCACGAAAAATAGGAAGACGATAATAAGAGCTTACCATAGTCCGAGCTATGGAGATGAAACCACCACCCGTACGGATAACAGTAAGTCTGACTTCCCTCTATTAGTTTCAGTTGGAGCCGAAATCCAGCCTCATCAGGGGCGAGAGACAATTCGCAGTGAAAGTAACGAAACTTATGGAATAAATATTGATTTAAGCCTCAGTAATTCTCGAAGGTTTCTCATGGGAAATCAGCCCCCGCTTTGGTGAGTTTCACGTCAAGTCACAAGTTCTACCCAAAAAGGCCATGCCGATTTTTCAAAATCACCTGCAGATTTTTGCGCTACAATTTTTATCTGACGTCTCACAAATCGGAATGTTTACCACAGTCTATCCTCCGAGGTATCTGGTAATTTTGCACACGTTTTCAGTAGGCCTATGGTTTTATCTCCAACATCCCAACTCCACTTTGGATTTTACGAAAGTCCTATGAATCAAAATGTTCTACACATTGCATCAATTGTAGGTGTACCCAATATTTTCTACCACATTTCCAGTATGTCATAGATCTCGAATCTCTGAAATTCGAAGTCCTTCGGATTTTTTCAAAAAAGTCCCTCGTGCTGCAAATTTCACAAATTCCATATTTTTTTTATCTCTGCGATCTCTGGCGTATTTTTGTTAAGTTATTTTACTTACCTTACCATCCGCAGTATTTACTCCGCCACTTTTTCCAAGACGGAGCTCGTTTCCGAATGAATTTCCCTGGGCATCCTTCAAAGTATTTCCCAAGGTACTTTTGCAACCTCAGGAGTCGTTTCAGTGTAAACAGTCATAGTCCTATCAAACTTACGTTTGAGGTCAATTAGTAAATCCTATTCAGACAACAAATGATGAGCGCCTTTTCTGCGAAATGGTTGAATATAAGTTGAAATTTTGGATCGTTCTGAAGGTGAGATCTCCTTATTCTCAAATCTCTCTGTAATTCCTCTGAACTAACTGGGTCGTTACTTTTTTTCCCGTTTTCACTATGATCTTCGTCTCTAGAAAGTCTCATTCCCCGTCTTCCTCATATGTCCTTTCAAGGGTCAATGCCTTATCGTACACGGATTGAAAACGGTTAATGATATCCTTCGCTTTACCATCATTATTTTTTTTGTCACTCCAAATAAACTTGGACATGTCATCCATGAGCCGTACCCCTTTCACCAGTTTCCTATCTCTTCCCAAACTAGACAAAAAATAGTATTCGTTGTATGTGCCTAAGATACAGTTCAGTGGAGGGTTTGTACTTTGGCCCATTGGAATACCTATTTTTTGTCTAATTAGTCGATCCGCCGCCATTACATAAGTATACTCGAATTCAAATTTTACCATGCCACAAATATCTTCAAAATTAATGACCATCCAACTTTCTCCTCTTTTCTTTATGGAAAATGATGTTTTTTTTCCTCTCATTTTCGACGTCAGTCTGCTTCTCCCTTTCTCGTTGTAGTAGTGTAATATTTAATCTCATGCTCTCAAAATAGAGCTATGGGACAAGCGGCTGAACATCTCCTTAAACGTCGAAGGATGCGCAAAGCGAATTCCTTTTCTTTTTTTTCTTCGTCCAGTTTTTCACCTCCCTGAGCATTCTCAGCAATAGATTCATATATCTCAAATTGAAGTGCATACTCTCTGGCAAAAGAAATAGAAGATGATTAAGTGCATAGGTTGTTCGGCTTTCCGTTGTTCTCAAGGGTTCTGAGTTGGATGGGCTTGTGGGGCGGAACTTTGATAAGTCATTGTTTTTATGAATTATATAAGTTCTTCCCCATATTCTCAAACCATCTCATTTTTCAATCCTCATTAGGCCACTTCTTTGTACAGTTGTTCACTTTTAGCTAAGGTCTCGGCTTCCAATCTTCATTCTATACGGAAACTTTTATTACCCCGTAAAATATTTTGCATCCCTTTAGCGTAAATCTTGGGGCACATTTTCACAACTTCTGTTGAATTTTTATCAACCGTCGTTCATACAAAGTGTTTCCCCAGTCATTTCAGATAACCCATGGAACCTAAGTCGAAGTTGCTTAAGTCTGGTGACATTGTCAAACATCTTAGAGCTTCCTTCCTTGACAGAGGAAAATCCACTCCCATATTTGTCAGCGCATCATTCAATTGTCTTAAAATCCTACCCATTTTCCTCTTATAATCTGGATAAGTTATACTTCTAGCATTTTTAACCAGCGAATCTATACCTTCCATTTTATTAATTATGCACATCACATGTCCCCCTTCAGTCGGAAGATTGTAGTCTGCGCAATTGCAGGTTCCCACCGGGATCTGCGCAACACGCATGTGGTTGTGAAGAAAATCGGAAAAACATTATTGTTACGTGAGATTGTTATCATTTTTTTACAGATGAATACAACTTCAACTGGCGGAAGGCATTTCAGTTGATGATCCATCACGACTCTTTAAATCCTTTTCTTATCTAATCCCTTGTCGTATGTAACAGATACACAGTGTTTCGACGCGTATTGACTCTAAATTTTTTCCTTCTAGTATATCTTTCAGGTTATTCGGGCAGATCGCTTTAAAGAAAAGATCAGTTGCAAGGAACAATTCAAGTAGATCTTCACTGGACAATTTATGGATTCTTCAGTAACTTGTGAAGATTCTTGTTGAGTTTCATGTTATAAGGTTTCTCCTTTGAGTTGTCCAAGGGTGGAGCTTCCTCCCTTTTCCAGTTTCGCTTTTAGACTAGTCAACAAAATGGTTAAAATATCAATCGTGAAAGTACCCAATCCTATATCGAGAAGTACAACGTTCCACTCTGATATCCAAATTCCCCACTCTGATATCCAAATTCCCCGAATGAAGAAACAATTTTATCACCCTTTGATGCGGCTTTACGTATATTAGCTAAGTTAACATATTCAAAATTACCAAAGATAATCGGTCTATCATTTGAAAAATTAGTGCATCTTGACTTTTTACACTTTGTTCTACCTTTACGTTTTTTCCTCGCAGAAGTACGATTAAGTTTCGTAGAATTTAATGAGGGTGACCGCCTTTTAATAAATATTATTTCAACGTTGGTAGATCTTGAGTAGGGACAAAGCTAATCGGGAGAGCTGCATAGTTTTTAATTCCCTAGTTCCTTAACCAGCTATATAACTTCGAATTATTAGCGGAGTAAGTATTATTTGTACGGTATACATGTTCCCTCCAACTTTCATAAAGAGTTATAGAAGTCTGACCTTTGTACGCTGCACGGCAACCGGGATCTAACAGAACATATACGCATGAGGAGGGGTTTTCCCACTTATTTACATTATTCTTAATTAATAATTTTAGTAATCTAAAAATTTAGTGCCCCGCTTTATCTCTCCTCTATTTATAAGGATCAATATACGTAATCTTATAATTTTTCCGATATTAATTCTAACGTATTTAATTCATACCATAATACTACTCAATAGCTGGTAACGTAAGTTAAGGTAGAATTGCAAATCCTTCCAAATATCAACTATTCAGACGGATCTTGATGCTCGTTCTGCACTTTCAGGTGGTTCTCTGATAACGATCCCTCCCGGGTGAGGTGTGTGTGGTTGGTGGTGAAAGCGCATGGCTCTTAATTCCACCACTCATCCAGTGCTTCCGGTCGTCTACGATAAACCACGCCTGCTTCTCTGCACATTTCTTGAATAGTTGGGATACTCTTCTTGTTCATGAATTTTCATAATTGTTTCTTAAGAGCGGCTTTTGTCTTGTTGTCAACGCTTAGAGGGGCACCTTCCCACTACGTCGATTCGTAAACAGGAAACCCTTTTCCATCCTTCCTTGATCTCCCTCTTCCTCTTTGGAATAAGGTATCAACTATATCATTGATGTCGCCCCACTCATCCGTAATCCGGGTCGGCGGATCTCCTATAACAGCTGGTCTCCCCATCTTTGTCGGTGTTCCTGCTGGGCTGGCTTGTCCTTCTAATGTTTATCCTGGTTGGCGTTTTCTCTTCTCCAATTTGTCTTCCTGCGTTTCGTCTTCATCTTCTTCCGAGTCTAACGATGGGGTTGGCGGTGTGCTATACTTTGCTTTGGTTTTAACAACTCTATCAGTTATCATAACCCTTTCTAAACAATTTTTTTTTTTGCTTTTTTCATTTCCTTTGCTTTTTTCTTTCTAATGTTGATTTATTCATCTCTTCTCTTGCTGCTTTTTTCGTCTCCACTTTCTTTTGTCTTTCTCCAACCTTAATTTATTCATCTCTTCTCTTGCTGCTTTTTTCATCTCCATTTTCTTTTGTCTTTCTTCAGCCTCCTTTTTTTTGTTGTTTCTCCATTTGTCATCGCACATAGGCTGCCATACTCTTCAAGGACTCTTCTACCTCCTTACTCGACACCGCTTGTCTCCCTATTTCCACGCAAGCATTCGAGCTGCTTGATGCTTCATTTGCTGGAGACCCTTGATAGTTCGTCGGCCGACCTTGGCTATTCGCTTAAGGTCCTTGGTAGTTATTCCAAGTTGCTTGGCATTTGCGTCATATGTACTCGAGCTGACCGCAATTGTAACATTTTGGTCCTCTCTGTTGCCATCTTCCGCCATTGTTCCATCCTCCTCCATTTCCATTGTTCCAGTTTCGTTGTTCCAATTTCCCCCATTTTCGTTGGTCCATCCTCTTGGTCCACCTCCTCCCCCGTTTCCGTTCCACCCTCCTTGACCTCCTTGTCCCCTGTTCCATCCCAACCCGCCGTTTTCATTGGTCCGTTCTCCTGGTCCGCCTCCATTACCGTTATTTCATCATGTCGGTCCTCTTTTGTTTTCGTTCCATCCTCCTTGATCGCCTCCTCCGTTTCTGTTCCAACCTCCTTGACCTCCTTGTCCCCCGTTCCACCCCACCCCACATCCTTGGGGCAGGTCTCGTGGTTCACTACCAAATCCGGATCCGCCATATCCTCCATTCACGCTCATCTCTAAGTCTTGATCTTGGTGTCTTCAAGCGCTTCTTCCACGTGATGAAGAGTCATTCGTACTCTACAATAGGTCTCTTAGTTCAGTTACATATCAGTTATTTGAACTAATTAGATTGATCTATCGCTTGAACTAACTAGATTGATCTATTGCCTGAACTAAATAGATTGATCTATTGCCTAGGCTACAGGGCCACCAAACCAAGTGTACGCCTATGTGACACCCAAGGCCGCGGATCCTGCGGCCTAGGCCACGGCCGAGGAGGCCGGCTGCGGGCCCACGGTCGAGGCCGCGTGGCCGAGTTTCCGCGCGGCCGTGCCACAGCCAGCGGGGGCGCGCGCAGGAAAATGGCGTGCCCGCGCAGCCTGCACACGCCGGCCTCTAACGGCCTGAAAAAAAAAAAAAAAAAAAAAAAAAATTGAAAATTTGGGGGGTGGTTTTTGGTAAGTAGCAAAAATAATTAATAAAATAAAACAATAAATATTCATTGATTGATTGTTTTTTTTATTGATTGATTGATTGGTGGGGGAGGGGTCCTCCCTCCCCTCCCACACACACACACACACACACACACACACACACACACACACACACACACACACACAC